ATCTTAAACATCTTTGAAATCTTACGAAAAATGCTTTGTCAGTACAAATAAGGACACATTGCCATATATCCAGTTTTCCTTTTCTTCTTCGTGCATTTAATTATTTTTAGAAAATTAAGATAATTTCGCTTTTCTCGACGTGCATTACAAAATTGACCAAGCAAATTTCCATATACAGTTATTCTTCCCTTTGTTGTACAAGTCTTTATTTTAGTCCAAAATCGATCCAAAAATTGTAAAATACTTTCAATTTTTCAAGTCTAATGCAATAATTGTAGTTAATCAACATTTTCCTCAGCTTGATTAGTTATCAATTTTCTCGACATTGTACTTATGCTTATTTCGTTTCAATTTCTTTTTTATTTATCTTCCATAGGTTCAAGATTTTGAAATAAAAAATTGCATGAAAATTTGTTGTTTGTATCAAAGTTGTTGTTCGATTATTCTTATTTTGAGCTTATTCAAAGGAACAATCATCTTTAGATGACATTGTGTATTTTTAAATTGAAATTAGATGAAATTAACATATAGCGTATTAATGAAAATCCAATGAAAGTAAGGAACATTTGAAGGTACTTGCTGTGATACTGGTTATTGTAGAAAAACCATTAAAAAGCATAAAAAAAAAGATTAATAAGCTACATCATTTGGATTTGCGATGGAAAAGGGTCATCCAATTATAATTGGCCACGCGAGATAGAATTCCTACGGCGTCAACGGCCTGATTCTTGCGTGGATCACAGAAGTGTGCTCGGGGCACTATATCAAATCGGCAAAGAGAAGAAGTAGAGGCAGGGGGAAGAGGGAAGGAGGGAACGAGCAGCCAAAGCTCGGCACTGGCTCGCAAGCACGACGTGAAAAATTACGAGCGTGGGCTTCGCTCTTAATCCTTTTTTCACGCGCGTTCTCGTGACCAGCCTCGTTTCTGCCTATTATAAAGCGTCAAACAATCGGTGTACAGCGCAGAGATGCACTTTCTCGGTCGCACCCACACACACGCGCTCTTTGCAGATATATATCCGGCGCCGAGAGAGAAAGAGAGAGAGAGAGAGAGAGAGGCTTGTTCGGATCATTAGCGCGCGATCGTGTGACGTAACGAGGTCTACCGCTAGACACAACAACCGTTAAGCGACAAAATCCTCTCTAGCGAGCGCTCTCTGTGACCCCTGACATTGTTGCAGCTAGGAGAGAGAGAGAGAGTGTGGCTGATGGATGGGCTTTGTTAGAGTCAGCCTCCTTCGATGACGGACAGATCTCGAGCGTGTCAAACGCCTATTTGGGGCATGCCGCGCGCGAGCCCGTTTTTCTCCTTTCGGTATATTGGCGTGCCGCTGCACCGATGACGATCGACGACGACGACTCTGCGGCTATGGGAAATGGACGTTCGTTGTGTGCTCGTGCTCCGTCCACGGCGAGGATTACGCAATGCGTGGAGCTTTTCATTGGATCACTCAGACCTCTTTTTTCTTCCGATAGCGCGTAAAGCGGTTGACTTCGTTGTTTCGGACATGGCATTACAAGTTGGCAACTGCACAACGTGCTTTTCAATTAGAAACCAGACACTGAGAACAAAATGGAAATCTTCGCGAATTGTGGCCTTCAATTGTGTATGCTGAGTTTTCTTTTTATGACAGACCGTTGAACGCTACTCGTCAAATAAAGGTATTTCACGGTTAAGTAATAAGTGTTAGTCACTCGCTGAGTAATTTCATCTCGTACTAATGTAAGTGCTCTCGCAAACAAATGTTTTCTTCAAACACAAATTACTCAAAAATGAAGGTTGTATAGTACCGCCATCCCGAACGTATAATCAATTCAATCACGACAACTATGATATAACGATTGTACAGCATATTTGCTCATAATTAAATCGTTAAGTTGTAAAACTTCATGGATAAGCTGTAGGTAATATTTATCAAGAGTTAATTTCGATCTGCCATATGATAATTAACAAAACAAAAATCAAAATTATGACCTCGTTTACGTCTTCGATAGTTTCTATACTATATATCTTATTTTTTTCACTTAATCATCGTTAAATATAAGGATTGAAAATACAAGGCGCATATAACATTTCATTCGTCGGGAATTCTAAGAATCTGAGATTGACAATTTTTTAAACCATATAATTCATTTTCGATCTAACTCCATTTCTTTATTATAGATTTTCCAGCGTAAATTCATAAAGAAACACAAATTTCTTACAAAAAAAAAAAATCCAGTTTACGCGAAAAAATTAATTAAACAATTGCCATATGTTTATTGCTGCTAAAATTTTATTACCTCTTGATTTAATATGTTTAATCTATCCAAAAGTATGACCTCAATAACTTCACGATATTCTCATTTCAATGAACCATGTCTCGAAGAAATAATTCAATCAACCTATAAAAATTATCCAATTAAATTTCTCCAATCGCCGCATCGAACAGATGATCGAAATCGAAAGGCAACTTTGAAATCGATTGTCTTTCAAACTTGATAGAGAACGATCGAAAGAAAAGAAACGATCACGTTCAATTAGTCCGTCGTCGATGAATCCGTTCGAAGGGTCAGTGGGTGCGTCAATGATTCCCACATTGATGCCTGCAGCGGAGAGTCATCCTCTAATCAGCGACTCGTCATCGCTAAACACACCTTCGACACTGTCGAAAACTCGCGCGACACATAACGGCTGGCACGGGACCCGTAAAGAACTCGTTTTTCCCAGACAACAATGCCTCTGCTTCACGTATATTTTCCCAGTGGTGTGGTCCGACCGAACCAGGTGGAAAAAAAAAGTTGCAACCGTGCATCCGCATGACTCGGCAGATGTTTCATTAGCTGGAGCAGAGGCGACGACAATCATTCGGCTATTAAGAAACCATTTGAAAATCATTGTCGTATCTCATCTCTCGTTTCTCTCTGTTCCTTTATTTATTTATTTATTATTTTTTTTTTGTTTTCCTTCTTTTTCATCAATTTATATCGAAGTCTTCGGTCGTGGGCTGTAACGGTGCGCAAACCCCAGGCGCGTATAAATGACAGACGTCTCTCGCTGGCGCGCGAGCGCGTGCAAGTACAGTTTTAACGATAATCGAAGAGTGCGCTCGCGACTTCTAACAACATCTTTGATGGATATCATCATTGTGATTCCATGAGATTCCATCCGCGCCGACTTGGACTTCTCCGCGCCTATGTTTACACAAAGTATTAATGATTCGCGCGCGTTTTTTCTTGCCCCTTCATTCTCGTTTCGAGAGCCGAGGTGACTGCACGCACGAGAGGCTTCTCGATTCGACGAGTACCGCAAGCTTTTGGAACGAGAGAGAGAGAAAGAGAGACTCGCACAGACCGCTTGCACGCATTTTCGACTGCAACCGCGTTGCTGCTGCGGCTTATCGATTCACCAGTTAATTAAGATTGTATGCCTCTGCTCTTGTACGCGTATCTTGCTTTTTTTTTCTTCGCAGCGGTGATGGTATGTGTGCCACGCACGTATTTTTTTCGCGTATATACGTACACCGGTGAGCTGAGATTTTTCGTACAGATTTCGCGAATTATCTCGAGAATATAAATGCGGCTCTTTCGAGGTGCTTCCCTTGTACGAGGGAATTGATTACGTAATTTTTCTTTTTCAAGACGATAACGCGTCCTTTCAATATTCAACCGATTGCAAATCCAACGATCCGCCCGTCCTACAGTTCATACCGCGCTGACGCAGTAAGCGAGACTACTACGGAGAAAACTGACGTATGACGTTGACGATCAAAAGAAAATTTGGGAGGGCACTTGGCATCGGTCCAGACGTGCCAGTTTTGAAAGGCAGTGCGATTGGTAATAAACGAAAAAAAGCGAGAGAAAAAAGATCCTCCAAACGATGATATATGAGAATTTTCGGAAGAGGCGGATATAAAAAGTATAAAAAGGCAGGAGAGGAGCGCGTAAGCCTCTCGTTAACGATCATTATTCGGGGATTTTGGAGCGACCGCGCGGCCGCGCATATGCATTCGGGTTTCTCTTTTTCCTGTCCTCTCCGCGCGAGAGATAAGGCGCCGCGAAAAGGGAGGGAGGAGAAGAGTGGACGCGTAGCGGGGAAAAAAAAAACTGAGAATAAAGAGAGTCAAACGGGCTCGAGGGGATCTAACAGTTCTCTGCATCAGCAGCAGGCAGCAGCAGTAGGAGCAGCCGCCCCCTTCCCGAAAAGCATTCCAGTGTTGTATGCGAAGAAGAAGTAGCTTCTCCCGGCGCGCGTGTGCGTCGCCGTCGCTCGTCCTAAAAACCGGTTTCCCCTACATACACATTAGTAACGTAATACACGGTAATGTATGACGATCGCTCTCTCTCTCTCTCTCTCTCTCTCTCTCTCTCTCTCTCTCTCTCTCTCTCTCTCTCTCTCTCTCTCTCTCTCTCTCTCTCTCTCTCTCTCTCTCTCTCTCTCTCTCTCTCTCTCTCTCTCTCTCTCTCTCTCTCTCTCCCCGAGAAATCGCGCGCGTGTGCATTATAATGGATACGGAGGAGGAGGCTCTTATATTCTTGAAAGCGAGGAGACCATAGCGACGCCCAGCGGCATTGGCCAGAAGCAACGCTGACCTTGCCAAGGTCAGCATGGCCCAAATGCCTGCCAGGCAAGGCCCCCGAAACTGCGTTTCTTCTTTTGCTTCTGCTTTCGACGGGGCAGTTCCGTGTCCATAGAAAGAGAGAGAGAGAGGCAGAACTGGCCATCGATCAAAGAGACCCACACACGCCGAAGCACGCTGCACGCGAGCGACGCTTATATTGGGTTTCCAGGAGAAATTGAGTGATTATCGAGTAGGTGTGCGCTTGTTTTTTTGGGTTGCCAGCGCGCCTCGTACTCGTATTACAATTGAATGTCAATGCCGAGCAGGAGAGAGAGGACATTCTTTTTTTTGTCTTCCGGTTTGGGACTTTCTTAGTGGGACTCGCTTCTTCTCGCGCGCCATTGGTTACGTAAATATATATATATATACATACTCATTATGCAAATTTCGAGTCCGAATTCAAAAACTGAACCATCGGTCAAGCTTTTTCCGAATTCTGTTTTTTATTCCAGTAACGATTCACAATTTACGTCGTTATAAAGAGCGGTATCACTTTTCGTTCTACTTCTGGGTCGAATGATACGGTCGTTTAATGTATTCGGCATCCAAAGCGTAGTACACTGTTGGTGGTATACCAGTAGCAATAAACAAGAAAAGTAGAGATGGAACTTCTGCTATCCATTTGCATTTGATATCGTTTACAAGATCAGTGTGTACTTAAGGATGTTATAATTCGGCATATCAGCGTACTTGGTAGTCAACGTGTATTTTACGACCGACGAACTACCAAAATATTCCCAGTTTTTGAACAACTGAGAAAAGCAAAATTGATCGCACCAGTACATTAAAATCGCAACTATATCGTTATAGACAGGACAGAAAACTTTGACCAAACGCTTACATTGGATGTCTGTAATAGCTTCATCCACGAATAGATTCAACCTCTATCGTCCAAGCCTCGGTTGACCACTATGATATTGCCACTTAGTGAATTATAAACACGTGGCATTTTTGAAAAAAAAAAATAGTTTGAATTCAAAAGTAATCATCTGATTTTTTTCAAGTTCCATCTAACTTGCAGCTAAGTTGATTAGGAACGCGAATCGGCCGCCAACAAAGCGTGGCAAAGCCAGTCGAGTTCGAATACACATTTTCCAAGTAAGAAATATTTTTCGCTTCCAACCAACCTAACAATGGAGAATAAATGTTTTTTGTTCCGAAGGGAAGTCCATCTTGCCGACCGACCAAGACAATACCTTCTCCGGAATCGTAGACCATGGGATAAGCTTTTCCAAAAGTAAACTTGCCATTTCTCGATAATGACGCTGCTGAAATTGACGAAGGAACGCTGTACAAAGGTTTCCCATCGTAGTCGTAAATACTTTGCAATAATCGTCAGCGGTGCGCGACTCTTGTTCGCCGAAAATAATGACGAAAGAATTTGCAAATCCGAGCACTGCGAAAACAGCCGAGTCTTCGTCCATGTTTGTACGCAGACGAATGAAATGACTCGCCCGACAGCTGTGCATAAAGATGACCCGAGAATACATACGCCACCCTGGAATACGAAAATTTAAGGCTTAATCTCGCGGTCAGTTATAAAACATGAATACCTTGCCCTTTGTGTTCCTCTTTCCAGGATACAAGAACTCGATCGTGTCTCAAGAAAGTTATGCCACCTTGCAATACTGCGCTAACATTATGTTCAAGAGGTGGTTGTATCTCACATTCCGACGAGTATATCCTACCGTCGAAAGTGTGCGTTCGCGTGGTTAAACTGCAATTCTTGAAATAAGCATCTCCGAAGCGTTTACATCGCAGAAGAGCAAAACTGTGGTTATCAGCGCTCGCAAGTGTATCGTATGTAGGCGGTTTTATGCTGTCGAATTCTCGGTAATCTACGTGAATTTCTCCGGACCAGCTGAGGCTTCTATCGATTGGCGAACTGAATGCGTAATGGGCATCGGCAACGTCGTCTACGATAAAAATCGTCATCACTTTCTTAAGATAATTAATTTTGTTTTTCTACCGAGCAAGATCTTTATTTCTTATGCCCTGGATCGTCGTTCATCCCGGCACTGCTCAATGAAGACACATTTCACGGATTCACTACAACTATTCCATTAACGATTATTTTGCTCGAGGCGAGAGAGAAAAAAAATCGCGCACAAAGGGCTTTCGTTGTCCGCGAAGGTCACGGTCTTGCCCGATTTGTTGTGGAGGGAAAAACTTATAGAAATCAATCGTGTGATCGTAAACTTGTAACAGCATAGACTACAACTGCTGCTGCTGCCGTTGCAAAAAAAGAAGAGGCAAGACGGTCGATTAGCGTTGCAGATTCCATGCCGCTGTTGTGCTTATCGCTGCGACGGACGTAACCTTCTTTTCTTTTTTTTTTTTTTTTTCAAATTGTCGCAAGTTCTTTCTGCACATCGTTTGAATCATAATAGATTTGATAACCTTCTGAATCGTCGAGTCGATAAGTTTTATATGAATATATCGGGAAAACCAATGGCGCACATCCGAAGTTTCGATGAGATAATTGGTGATTTTTACGCGCTTACTTCATAAATAATAGATTATTTCCAATTGAAAGTTAATGTTGATAAAGTTTGATGTCACAGCTAGAAACTTCAAAGCTATTTATTAGAGGTCGCATTTATTTGCGCGGCAGATGCTGAAAAACGGAAAAATGTTTCTCTGAAACACGACAGTCAGAGAAAGAAAAAACAAGATGTCAGTGCCGAGTGCAATATCTCATGAAATATTATCGTTTTTTTCTTCAAAGCCCGAACAGTTTTGTAACAATAGCTTACTAAAGCTTTGAAAAAAGAAAGATAGATCTCGCGGAGCAATCGTCGCGCCACCACCGCGGCACAGCGCCGAGCACAGGAAATGACAATCAATATTAATGGACTCCGAAGGCTCTTTTGCGCTCTCGAGTCGGCGCAAATGTTTTGTTAACTGTACTTTCCGCGACGACGAAGGAGAGAGGAGCGGCGACGACGACGACGACGACGTTTCCCCGATTCAAAAGTCCTTCCTCGCGCAAATGACAATATCGCCGCGCTCGCGCGACAGAAAAAGAAATGGTAACGATCTTTAAAGCCTGTCCGACCACTTTTCAAAGCGAACTGAGCGCGATCCCCGCGATCTTTTTCCCCCCTTTTCGTCCATTAGATAGCCAACGTCAATCGCTCGTGAAATTGAATTGTTTACGCTTGAGATTTTTTCAGCCTCCTTCCTTCCACTCCTTGCGTCTCTCTCGCTCTCTCTTTCTCTCTTTCAAATTGAAGAAAACGGTAATACAATAACGCTGAATAACAGCTGAAGACGCATAATCGATGCGCCGCTACCGTTTATTATTTGTGGACTATTACGTAAGAGAGGCGCTTCTTTTCCCTTTTTCGTCGTTGACAACGTCAGCCGTACGTTCCTCATTAGCCTCGCACGCGGACTCCCGCCAAGTTTACGAACGCGCAGGCGCGCGCGTTTTTTTTTTTTTTTTTTTCCTTCTCCCTTTTTTTTACTGTAAATCGAAAGAGCCTCTCGGCCGGCAGCATTCGTGTAACGGCATTGATGCGGCGTGCCCGCGCGTGATCGTTATCTTTCGTCGACCATAATAAAAAAGAAGTCCTCTCGGGTTAATTAACGCGGATTATTAAAAAATTGTTGATGCGGCCAGGAATTTAATTTGCCTGCGTGTGGAGAGGGACTGAGGGGAGCACGCGAGAGGGAGAGATAACCGCAGAAATTTTTCGGTTACATTTTTGCGGCTGCCCCGTTTTATTCTGCTGCGCGCGCACGCACCTCTCGCAGATGTCGCTAAATGGCCTAATTATTGAGCTCCTCGCGTGCGCGCTGCTCGTATTTCATAACGGCTGATTTTCGCTAACGCGAAAGCTGGATACTGTGTATGGCTTTGTGGCGTGGCCACCTAAAAAGAGTGTGTACGTGTGTGAACTCTTTTTAGGTGGTCTCTTTCATTGGATATATCAGTTGAAGTTTTTAAACTTTCTTTCCAACGAACCTTATGTTGCCCAGCTTGTTTTTAAAATTACCTAGCTTTTAATCATGGATACTAGGAGAGCATAGGCAAGGTGGGGTTACATGACTGAAAGCTACATGAAGCATACAGTAATTACTTTGTTTGGTTTCGATATGTCAAGATTATTTACATTGAAAATCTTGACCATATCTTAAATATGTATTGGTATGCCTCTTATTTTTACTCTGTACAATTATATTTTTCAAAATTACCAAACAAAAAAGCACCGTTCAAAAATTTGAATTCTAAAGCGCAACGCGCGATCAGTCATGAAGCTCATTTACCACATTGTGGTAGCTAAGTCGCTTCTTACAAATGTGAATTCATCAAAGAAAAAGTAAAAAATAATGCTTAAAATCAAGCTGCTCTCATCAACCGTGAAACGATCTTTTTTTTTTTTAGATAGCTGTATTTTTCGAAAGTAACATCAGTTATTTGTTCGAAAGTAACGCAACTACGTTTGTTGTACATTTACAGATGACAATACTACGACTTTTTTCAGAAGTATTACAGGTACATCGAATTCAATTTTAGTATAAATATACATATGATTCCCATACTACTGTAACTTGAAGACGAATCTACCGCACCAAACGAGACAGTTGATTTTACTCTTTTTCAATGAGATCGCTTGTTGCAATGTCATCGATCTTTACGTATATTCCTGCGATGCCTGTCCAATTGACTAACTCTAATTTGTGTTCTCGCAGGAGCTGCAGCGAAGAGAGCAACAACAACAACCAAACAAGCAGGAGTGGTGGTTTCGGTCGCTGGCTTCGCGAACATCTGATCGTCAGTCATCACCATTCGAAATCCAACAGCGAGAAGCAACTGTCGAAGCAACAAATCTCACTACCGACGCAGAACCTCTACTGCAGTTTACCGAGGGAGAGATCTATAGTTGCGCAGAGACGATCGTCGTGTCGAATTGTCAACGAGCAGCTAATTCAAGATGAGACTGACAAGAGGAAGGCCAAGGCCAAAGCCGAAAGAAGGAGGCACTCCATGAGCGAAATTTATAGCAGCAGGAGAGCTGCCAGAAGGCAAGTGATGTGGAATTCTTGGGTGGATTGCACGCGTGGGTGCGCGCGCGCACGCGCTGCATTTTCTTTTTCTTCGCCGTGCCGATTTTGCTCTCGGGAGGCCCTTCTTGATGGATCACTTTATTCGACGTCGTTCGATTTAAGCTTTGAAATCCGCGTTATCGCTTAAAGTAGAGAGGCCCCGTTCGGTAAAAATAGCACTTGGCAACGTTATGGAAAATTTATAGCTCGACACTCGATAAACTTTCTCGAGCAAAGTCATTGTAAATATCATTTCAAAGCTCGTTTTAATCGAGATACACTTTCGTAAACGAAGTTATACAGAGCTTCGACTTTTATTTCGAGCTATAATTTACGTGAAAAAAAAAATTATATTTTAAGAAGCAATCATTCTCGCCAACGCATTGCCACGTTTAATTGGTATTTAAAATCTCTTTGTACACCTCAAATTACAACTTTTGTCGAGAACCCTTGTCAAAAAAAAAAAACAAAAAAGAAAAAATAACCAGAGTGTCACTTTTACAACCTCTGCCACGGGTGTCATTTGAAAATTCTTCAAACACGCGACGACAATGATGAGGATGTCCGAAAAAACGAAAGGCATAAGCGGATCGTAATAAACAAAACAGTAAAATTTGTCTCTGCGTCAACCCGAAGTACCAATAAAACACTGAACAAGGTGTCACCAGTGTAACGAAGGAGCGAGAAAAGAAAAAATCAGGCCGAATTTATTAAGTAGCGAAATAATGAGGCTGCGATCTTTTCGCGACGAGTGATTGCACGTCAGCATTCCATTTTGCTAACGGAGCACGCGATTGTTCTTTTAAAAAACCACACGATCAGGCGGAAAGGCGCGTGGCTATTATTAATCACACACGCACTTTTGAAGAGGTCGCTCGCGGCTTAATGGAAGACACTTATTGGGGTCCATATCATGCATGAAAGGCGCGGGAGAGAGAGAGAGAGAGGTTGAAACTTCATCATCCCCCTCACAGCTAGGAAAGCCATTACCTATCTCTCCATACGTACAATGGTATATATAATACTCCGCTATAAGAAACAGCGTAAAAGGCCCTTTCACCTCCGCGTCTTTTTTTCAAGGCCGCTTCGCTAAAGGGACAGCTGCGAACGGATTACGTTCTTTTTTTTCTTCTCTCTGCCTCTCTCTCTCTCTCTCTCTCTCTCTCTCTCTCACTCGCTCTTTCTTTCTCTTCTTTTTGCACACGAGATGACGTCGATTTTTCGCGTGCTCCTTGCGGTTCCTCGAAGGACCGCGACCTACTAATGGAGTATTTTTGGACGCGCGCGCGAATCGAGGACGCGCAAGCAGTGCCCGCGCTTTTGTGCTCTTCCGGACATGCATAGTGGTTTGTGGTGCGTACGTCACTGCCATCGGATTGGCAGAATAAATGGGCTCATTGGATTTCACTATCTGATTGATTTTCTCTTTTTGCGCAATAAATTCATAAACAATGTGTTTGGAAATGGAAAGCACAGAAACGGTGAATATTTGCGATAAATGTCAACAGGAGGGCCGTAATATTCATTAAATACACTTGGAAGACTGTACGAAGTAAACGTTTGTATATCGTAAATGAAATTGAAATTGAGATGCGGTATTATTTTCAAGCACACTGGCATTAAACTTTTTTGAAATTACATTATTGGTTATTGTTTCGAGTGCGACACGTATCGTATGTATTCTGAAAAAGCTATGGACGAACAGTACAATCAAAATACTTATTATACAACGTCGCGCTTTAATAATTTCACGAGCACATACACAAGCATACTTCATAAACTATTCCCGGCACGTGCAAATAAACAATCGGAGACCTGAGAACCGAATTCAATTAAATTAACCTTCGATTCTAAATCAGCTCGCGTGTATGCGGGCATCGCGTAGCCAAAAACGAACGCACACGTGCCTTTCTTTTTCTTTAAAATTATTACGTTGCGCTTGACGTTCAAAACACGTAGCGAGAGCCATCGACGCGTTGCCAATTATGATCAATGTCACTCCTATACGATACACGTAATGCATGGTAAATCTGATTTTTATTGGCTTGCTCGTGCATAGAGAAAAAGGAATTGGTTTTTCGAAAAACGCCCGTATATACATTCCACAAAGAAAGGGGACCTCCAACTGCAGGTATGTCGCGCAAACTCGCGTTTACGCTTCTGTGTGTGTGCGTGCGTGTACGTGTGCAGGATATTTCGAGCAGTGTAATATATTTATCTGATTTTTTACAGACAGCTCTCTCTCTCTCTCTCTCTCTCTCTCACTCTCTCGCCCGCGTATATATCGTTTTTTTTTGTCAGCAGAACTCGAGCGAGCGACAAGAGCCTTTAGCTAACAAGTTTCATAAGCCGTTGCTCTCCGTCGAACAAATAAGTCATAATACTTGTCGTGGCTCTTGGCCGCGCGTTTGTTACCACGAGCAGCAAAACCAGACGAGACAAGCGCATCAAGAAATTGTCAATGAAGCGTGCTCTGCTCGCG